TTACTGCCTTTTTTTTCTAGGAGTTTTATGATTTCAGATCTTATATGTAAATCTTTATTTTGAGCTTATTCTTGTATATGGAATAAGAAGATGGTCCAGTTTTTTGCATGTGTCTGTCCAGTTTTCCCAACATCATTTATTGAAAAGATGGTCTTTACCCAGTTCTATATTCTTGCCTACTTTATCATAGGTTAAGTGACTGGATAAGCATGGGTTTATTTCTGGGCTCTCTATTCTGTTCCATTAATCTATGTGTCTTGTTTTTCTGCTAGTACCGTGCTGTTTTTTATTACTATGGCCTATAGTATAGTTTGATATCAAGTAGCATGATATTTCCAACTTTGCTCTTATTTCTCAATATTGCTGTGACTATTCAGGACCTTTCATGGTTCCATAAACATTTTAGGATTATTGGTTCTAGTTCTGTGAAAAATGTCATTGGTATTTTGGCAGGGATTGCATTGAATCTATAGATTGCTTTGGGTAGTATGGACATTTTAACAATGTTAATGTTTCTTATTCATGAGCATGGTATAAGCTTCCATTTACTTGTATCCCCTTCAACTTCTTTCTTCAGTATCATATAATTTTCCAAGTACAGGTTTTTCACCTCCTTGGTGAAATTTATTCCTACTTATTTATTTTTCATGCAATTGTAAGTGGAATTGCCTTTTGAAATTTCTCTTTGTGATGGTTTATTATTGGTGTATAAAAATATAAACTGAAATCTGAATATTAATTTTGTATCTGGTTACTTAACTAAATTCCTTTACAAGTTCTAATAGTCTTGGGTGGACTCTTTGGGGTTCTTTATATATCATGTCATCTGCAAATGACAGTTTTACTTCTTTTTCAATTTGGATGCCTTTAATTTTTTTTCTTGCTGACTGCTGTAGCTAAGGACTTCCAATACTATGTTGAATAAAAGCAGTGAAAGTGGACAACCTTGTCCTGTTCCTGATCTTTAGGAAACTGCTGTTAGCTTTTCCTTGTTGATTGTGATGTTAACTATGGGTTTGTCATACATATCCTTTATTATATTGATACATGTTCCCTCTATTCCTGCTTTGCTGAGAGGTTGCTTTTTTTTATCATAAATGGATGCTGGAGTTTGACAAACATGTTTTCTGCATCTATTGATATGCTCATATGCTTTTTTATCTTTCATTTTGTTTATGTGGTATACCATGTTAATTGATTTGTGGATATTGAATGAATCTTGCATTCCAGGAATAAATTCCACTTTGTTGTATGATCTTTTTAATGTAGTGCTGAATTCAGTTTGTTAATATTCTTTTGAGGATTTTTGCATCTGTGTTCATCAGGGATATTGACCTATCATTTTCTTTTTTGTAATATCTTCATCTGGTTTTAAAATCAGGGTAATGATGGTCTTGAAGAATGAGCTTGGGAGATTTTCCTTCTCTTCAATTTTTTGGACTAGTTTGAGAAGAATAGGTGTCAATTCTTTGAATGTTTGGTAAAATTTACCTGTGAATCATTCGGTTCAAGACTTTTTTTTTTTTTGAGAATCTGTTTTTATTGGGCTTTAGGGAAGGGGTTGGGAAATGGCACTGGGTGGTTATACCTCACTAGGATGTTACTGTCCATTCTAATCTTCCTGGGATAGCTTTTGGAGCTTTTTCTTTTTCTTGGATCTGCTGCTTTTGGTGCCAGCAGCCTCTTCAGATCCACTGCTGAGTGGCTCCTTTTTGGAAGAGAATTTCCTCCTTTTATTGGGGACACTCCTATTCCCTGCCTCTTTAGGGTCAATAGCAGATTCCTATTTGTAGAAAGATTTCTTCCTCTTGGGAAGACTTCCATTGCCACCTCTTTCCTCAACATCACTACTAACCACTCCTCGGAAAAATATGTTTTTTTGTGGCAGGGTGGGGGGTTTGGATAAAGAGACAGGGGGTTTTCCATTACATTTTTTTGAGGAGCCTCCTGAAGCTTTTGTTTTTCTCCTTTTTGGGTCTTTCACTTATCTCCTCACACTCCTCCAGTGTACTACTCTTTTCTGAAGATGTGAGGTCAATTGCAGTCAACAGTTTCTTTTCCTTCTTCAAGCATTTTTTCTTTTGTTTCTCCAGCTTCCTAGAAATCTCAGCAGCCACTTCCTCAGCCTGAACCATTGCCTTTTTCATGACCACCAGATTCTTTCATGGAATATCTCCAGTCTCGAGGAAGGATAGCCATTCCTCAACGTGTTCTCGAAGCTTCTCCCCAAAGACACTTGTGGGCACCTCAGAAAAGCAATCAATTTATGAGGCAATACTGCATTTGTTTGCCAGGTATCAGGAGATGGGGCCTTTGTTCTTGGAAGCTGCTCGGCCAAAGAATGTGGAGTGGAAAATGAGTCCATATTTTGGAGTGTTACCCCTTTTCTTCAGGGCCTTGGAAACTTGGTCCCTTTGCTTGGCCCTGGGAAGGACTTTTCTTCGTTGGGAGTTTTTTTATTACTGATTCAATTTTATTAGTAGTAATTTGTTTGTTCAGGTTTTTTGTTTCTTTCTGATTCAGCCCTAAAAGACTGTATGTTTCTATAAATTTTTCCATTTCTTTGAGATTGTCCAATTTGTTAGTATACAATTACTCATAGTATTTTCCTATAGTCCTTTGTATTTCTGTACTGTCAGTTGTCACTTCTCCTCTTACATTTCTAATTTTATTTCTTTGGGTCTCTCCCTCTTTTTAGATGAGTCAAGTAAAAACTTTATGTTATTTTTTCAAGGAATGAGCTCTTGATTTCATTGATCTTTTGTATTGTTTTTTCAGTCTATTTCTTTTATTTCCACACTAATATTTATTATTTCCTTCCTTCTACTCAAACTGGGCTTTGTTCACTGTCTTTTTTTTGTAGTTCCTTTAAATGTAAAGTTAACTTATATATTTGAGAATTTTTGCTTTTTTGAGGTAGGCCTGCATTGCTATGAATTTCCCTCTTAAGGCTGCTTTCACGAATAGATTTTGGGTCATTGTATTTTCATTTTCAATTGTCTCAAGGTATCTTTTGATTTCTTCCTTTATTGCATTGTTAGCTCATTCATTGTTAATAACATGTTATGTAGCATATATGTGTTTGTGTTTTATTCAGGTTTTTTTCTTGTAATTGATTTCAAGTTTCATACCATCATGGTCAGAGAAGACACTTGATAATGATTCCAATCTTCTTAAATTTGTTGAGACTTGTTTTGTGGCCTAGCACGTGGTCTGTCATGGAAAATGATTGTTATGCACTTGAAAATAATGTATATTCTGCTGCTTTGGGGATGAAATGCTCTAAAAATATCAGTTAAATCCATCTGGGCTAGTATGTCATTTAAGGCTGCTGTTTCCTTGGTAATTTTCTGTCTGGAAACTCTGTCCATTGGTGTCAATTGGGTATTAAAGTCCCTTTCTACAACTGTATTACTGTCAATTACTCCCTTTATGTTGGTCAATACTTGCTTTATGTATTTGATGCTCTTATGTTGGGTGCATAGATGTTAACTAGGTTTTATCTTCTTGTTAAATTAACCTCTTTATCATTATGTAATGTCCTTTGTCTCTTATTATAGACTTTGCATTAAAGTCTATTTTGTCTTATATAAATACTCCTACTCCAGATTTTTTTTTTTGNTTATGCCAATATATATTTTTTAATATTGTAAGAAACATTAGGGCAATTATGTTAAGAAATTTAATGCTAAAAAAGATGAGTGGAGACCACTGTTTTTCATAACATGTTATTTATATTGCAATAGATGAGTACAATTGCAGGACCCCTGTAGTTGGCTCTGCGGTAGGCCCAGAAAGGATAGTGTTGGGTGAGATGTACATGTTGACTGAGATTTTTTGTGGTTATTTCATAGATATTGAACTAAGTGCTAGTGAAGAATGACAGGAGCAGGTATTCTGTGCCTCAAGAGCTTTTTAATCAGGGTAGAAAGTATGCCAAAATGTAGTAATATCTTCTCTATAAAATGCATGTAGAATTTTGTTTGAAAAATGAGTTTACATGATGCCACACTAAAGCTTAGAAAAAAATATGCAAATTTATTGTCTTTATTTTTTATTATGGTGTAATTCATATACAATGGTATAGTCACTAATTGCTTACATGAAATGAGATTAAGAGGATTAAAAAAACAGAAACCCCTCTTTCCTAATCAACTACTTTTGTTCTCTTAATCAAAGGCTGGCCTAAATTCCATTAACAGTAAATTAGAATATTTTTCCCTATTATATCCCAAGAAAGCTAATGCATTTTTTTACTTGGCTATGTACAAAAATTAAAACAAATGCTGGCCTTAGAGCTATAAGTATTGAAAGGTAACCCAAACTTTACATCCTATTCATAAACCACATGGCTTTGGGAAAGATTCTGCATGAATTGGAGCCTAAGTTCATTTTATTATAAATTAAAGGCAATAATATTTGATTATTCTACTTTAAAGGGTTACTGTGAAAATGAATGAGAAGATAATGCTCATAAAATTGCTTTGTTAATTGCAGTATTTTTCTTTCTATTAGTTCAAATTAGTTTAGCAGAGGTTTTTTGGGTTTTTTGTTTGTTTGTTTGTTTTGTTTTTTCCAATAAAACATTAAAATATGACATGCTGCCCAACCTGGCAGTCCAGATCCCCTAATAATCACCACTCTTGGACTGAACCAATCCATCAACTCACAAATATAATCATATAGAGGGCAGTCTGTTATGGATACCTAAGATAAGCCTAAAAAGGCTAAGATTTGTTCATTGATGGATACACTTAGCATGTTGGAGTGTGAATGAACAAGAGGCAGCTTTGTAAATAAGCATTTTGGTGGGCAACATTTACATCGTTCCAGAATATTCTTCTGATCAGCACAAATGGAACATGTAAAGTTCTGCTGATAAAATTAAGTGCACTTGGACACGGGATGCTAAAGACAGCTTGTTTGTTCAGGTTTCTTTTGGTGAGATTAGAGGTATTCAATATTCCTGGGTCCTTTGAGTCAGTTGGTGTACCAACCTGCTTGCTGTAACCTGTCCGCTGGCACTGAGAAGAATGAAGCTGTCAGGAAATCTGTCAGAGGGGTCAGTAGGAAATAGAGGAAATTATAGGTAGTATGACATGAAAGATGCACAGGAAACACAGGATAAGTGGAAGTTCTGTGGGATTTATAGAAAGCAATTTGAATACTTTTGGAATAGAGGTCATGAATACTGTATGATGAAAATAAGAAACTACTTTATAGTTTGGTATACTTTAAATTTTGCATTATAGTCTTTCAACAAGTTAAAAATAAAAGTGAGTATATAATGAAAAATTAACAAATTTTTAAAATATTCAATATTATTTGATATTAGCCTCAAATGTACAGCATAATGGTTACACACATAATTTATGAAGTGATTCCTCTGATTAGTCTAGAACCCACCTGGCACTATACATAGTTATTACAATATTATTGACTATATTTCCTGTTCTTTACTTTACATCCCAAAGACTATTTTATAATTACCAATTTGTACTACTTAACCCCTTCACCTTTTTCACCCAGCTTCCCAACCCACCTCCCATCAGGTAACCATCAGTTTATTCTCTGTATCTATGAGTCTGTTTCTGTTTTTGTTGTTTATTTTGTTCTTTAAATTCCACATATAAGTGAGATCATATTGTATTTGTCTTCTCTGTCTAATTTCACTTAGCATAATACCCTCTAAGTATATCCATGTTGTTGCTCATGGTAAGATTTCATTTTTGCTATGGCTGA